AGATAAAGAAAACGAAAAAAAAAAAAAAAAAAAAAATAAAAAAAGGAATAAGCGGACTGTGCGTTAAAGAATTAAGGACTTGCTGGCAACGTCGAGCTTGCAATTTCTGCGCTTTTACCATATGCACAGAGACCTGTTCGCGATGGGAAAGGACGCGTTTCGATGACACGCCACGTACGCGACAAAGGGTGCCATCGGAAAATGGCAAAGTTTTCCTCCTTCTCCTTTCTCATTCCTTTTATCCCTCGACACTTGCCCTCTGGCTTTTCCTCTCGAATATATTTTCACGAAAGGAGGAGAAAGGGAACGAACAAAGGTGCACGATGGCGCGAGGGAAAGAGACGGGGGATGAAGAAATAAAAGGATAGAGACATGGTTAAAGAAAAAAATGTCGAGTATCGTCGGAAAACCTTGCTACGCGTTTCATTTTCCTCCTCCCTTTTCTATTCTCTCTCTCTCTCTTTCTCTCTTATATACTTTTATGTACACACTTCTATCTTTATCTTTCTCTCTATCTTTTATATTATTCTACGTACACACTGATTCTTCTTCTCTCTTTTTCTCTATTTATCTATCTATCTATCTATCTATCTATCTATCTATCTATCTATTTATCTACCTATCTATTTCTCTCTCTCTCTCTCTCTTTCTTTAGTAATATATATACAGTCGGTTACGAAAATTATCAGACATTAATATAAATTTAATAATTATGTTTTGTATTTTAACTTAATGTATATATTAAATGACTAATCAAATATATTATGATATAATAGTACACAGTGTGTTGTTAGATAACAAAAATACAAAATATCTTTATTTATCATATATAATTGTTATAATAATGGAAAAAGATCGAAGAAGTCGCTAATTTGTTGGTTGGAAAAATATTAGAACACTATGGAATATTATTAGTTATTAGTACGATGTTTGTACATTGTTATGTTACATTGTACATTTTCATAAAAGAAAGAACACATTTTTCTATATGCAACAGATTGAAATTTCATGTTTTTTAATAAATAATAAGAGTATTGTACGAACATCATAATAAGATATTTTCTTTTTTTATTTTTTCTTTCAAAAATAAGACAGAATAAATTTTATTCGTCAAAGTGAAATTCGTCCACGAATTTGAAGTTTTCGCGATAGACGTGATATGATTAAAAAAAAAAAAAAAGAAAAATGAAAAAAAGAACCGCAGACACAAACATTTCAAAAATAGTCACAATGTTATAGAAAGAACGTGGGGTTATCACTGTATATTAGAAAAACCTGTGAAAAGTTTTACGTGAAGCAAATCACAACGAGCCGGATAACCATGTAAAAAAGGGTATATTAAAATGCACAATAAACAGAAATGTGAGATAGTTATGTTTGTTAAAATTTACATTTGTAAAGAAGATGAATGATAAAATAACTTATGATTATTTTTGTCGATTAGAACAAATATAATGTTTACGGTATGATGGTTAAAGGGAAAACGCGATAATGTTGGAGAAATACAAAACATTAAATATCAAATCTATACCGGGTGTCTGATTATTTTTGTTACCGACTGTATACATGTAGATGTATTTCTTTGCTTGTTTCTCTTTCCACTCATTCTCTATTTCTATTCTCCCCCTCCCCCCTTCCCACACCATTTCTCTCTCACCTATTTCGATCCTCGAGGAGGAGAACTCTACCTCGACATCGTGCAATATCCCTACGAGTGGAGGAGAGCGAAATTACGTCGACATGAGAGAATCGGAGATGCGGTCTCGAACGTTCTCCTCCCGTACCAATTTTACGACGCGAGTAACGATCCTTCCGGAATGCTTTGATCGTACCGATCGAGAATACCTCTGGACGATATTTCCAACGTCGAATCGTTCTCGGTACACTTCCTGCAAATATTTACAAAACTAGAGACCCACAAAACTGTACACTTTATAAATATTTTTATATTCTTTTGTATATTTTCCATCTATTCGAAACCTAATTTCAGTTAAATATTTACGTTCTTTTATTAAATCTTATATGTTTGTATAATTAGATTATTTAATCCTGTATACACCGTTCCTATCATTTTATCAAAACTTCTAACTCAAATAATCGATTTAAAAAATTCGATTTTCACGATCCGTTCACTATCATCTACTCCATCAATTTCTTTTTCCATCTTTTTGAATTTTTCATCATCAAGCAGAGCTTTGAGACCGTGCTCTTTCGATACCATGAATAAATAAAAACTTCATTTTCTCGTTACCGCCGGTATAACCGCAGGACGAATAGGAAAGTTTGCGATCTCGTTTGGTAACACCTCTGACGATGATAAATATCGTGTAATAAAAAATAGAAATAATAGAATGTATATACGTTTATAGAGTAAAATGTACGCTATTGTATTTCTATAGTAAAAATATTGAAATATATTCCTATACTAGTGTATATGATTTTTATTGAAAATCACTTCAACTGTGTAGAAATATACAAACAAAAATTATAAATATGTATTTATAAAAATGAAAAAAGAAAACTATATTGACCATAATAAGTCGAAAAAGTCAGGAGGGAAAAAAATAATTTAATAAATTTAATTAAATTACACGTACAAATTTCTCTTATTAAACTTTTTTGTAATTTCAACCAGTTGCGAAATATTTGCTCGGACATCTAGGAGAATAGATATCTTATATATGCAATAATATATCTATTGTAATTGTGCAACTGCAACGATACACTTTTGAAATAACTGACACTAGAGGTTGTTAAATTATTTAAAATTATACTGTACTGTTATTTCTATCTCTTTAAAATAGAAACAGAAGTATAGTCCGTCCCAGTTATTAAAATATACATTATATATCATATATATATATATATGTGTACGTATATACTACGTATAAAGAAAGGGAGAAAAATATTCATATACAAACAGACGCAGAAAATAAGGACGGAAAAGGTGGAATAAATTTAAAGACCATTCAATCCTTTTGTTTTTTCGACGCCATTATAAACGCATTATACAACGCATTATTGCAAGTGCAGTATAAGTGTGTGAGTGCAAGAGAAAGAGATTGAAAATGAAAGAAATAGAGGAAAAGGTAAGAACGAAAATGGAAGAATATGAACGACGATCGTCGCTGGGTGAATCTTTTAAACTGCGAAGTTTTATTTTTTAAAATGTACGACTAATGTTGTGTAATAAACATTATAAATAAACGGAATATATGCGACTGCATTAAAATTGAATTTTTTTTTTTATATATTCTATATTATAATATAATAAAAAGAGAAACACGAATTTCATAATGTTCGCTTAAAGATATTAATTTTTTTGAATGCTTGATAAAACAAAATTACAGAAAAGTATATTTTTGTTCTTTTACTTTTTCCAAAGAGCTCTTTCGAAACCAATCAAATACCAACTTCTATTTAGAAACATTCCCATTTGAAACAAACAAACACACGCACGCACGCACGCGTCATAGGACAAGGGACACACAGAACGAAAAGCGATTGATTTGTCTTGTAAATATTTAACGAATCAAACCTTGAACAATATTAATCAATATAAATTTCTTTCTTTCATCGTTGTCTACAAAAATATTATAAATATAGGAAATATTTCTATATCTTTCAAAATATAACGTTCAATTTAAATAATAAAAAAAAAGTAAATTTGAGCTTTTTAGTAAGACGTAGAGTAAATTCGTCGTAAAAGATAAAGAAAACGAAAAAAAAAAAACAAAAAAAAATTGCTATCCCTTCGCGAAACTCGTATACTCGTCAAACATAGTTAACAGGTTAAAGAGCAGGATGTAAGGAGAAAGAAAGGAAGATAGAATGAATTGAAGGATGAGAAAGAAAGGGGAAAGGAAATGAGAAAGGAAAAGCGTATTACTCGTTTGAATCATGAGGAACATCTGTTGAATTACGTAGTGGTTGGATAGGTTGAGGATAGTGAAAGAAGAACCAAAAAGAAGACTAAAATAAGAAAGAAAGAGAAAAGAGAAAAGGAAAGACCAAAAAAGGAAGAAAAGAAAAAAAGAAAAAATATATGGCTCGTTCTACTCTTGAAGAGGTGGAGAGGGGAGGGAGGAGATTAAATTAAAACGCGTCTCTGCGACATCGCTTCAGTGAAGTCGCTCTCTTGCGTTTAAAAATCTTCTTGAGCATGGTGGCAAGGTGAATTTCTCAAATTTACCGAGGCGAGAACGGGAAATGTGATAGGCTTTTACGATTATTCCTTGTCACGATGGCATATGGTAGGGAGGGGGTGGGGGGGAATAATTTTTTGCTTTTTTTCCTTTTCCTTCTTCTTTTCCCTTTCCATCTTTCGCGAGTTCTTTTTTATATTCTTCTTCTTCTTCTTCTTCTTCTACTTCTTTTTTTGATATTTTTTTTCTAATTTTTTGTTCGTTGTCGAGTTGGCGATAGACGATACACCGTGAGAGCACTTACGAGAGACGATTAAAAAACCGAGCGTATTCGTTTTCAAAATGTCTCGAACGTTTACGTTAATGTATTATCATCCTGTTGACAAAAAAAAATCCCCTTTTCCCTTGCCGATTATTCATTTTTATATTAATATTTGATATCATGATAAATAATAGGATTATTTTGAACGAGAAAGGATTAATTACAATTATGTTTATTCAATTTAATAAGATTATAATATTTTGTTTCATTGTAATATTTCATACTAACGAAGGTTCATCCTAAACCTCTCAGTTATATTGTCAATTGGATTTCTTTATCTTATATATACCATTTAGTATGACACATTATATCGTTTCTCGTTTTGTATTCTAATTCCCATAAGCTAGGATCGATTAAATGAATTATTAATAACGTTATTAAGTTGTTAAATTGTAAATATGTAAATATATGACGAAATTATTGATCTTTTTAGGAACGTTGAGGATTATATGAGGGAACACGAACAAGCTTCGAGAAACATACAACAATACTTGTCCAATCCGATAAATGCTTACCTGTTGGTCAAGAGACTAACCACAGACTGGAAAAGGGTTGAGGAACTCATAACCGAAGACGTTGGCAAGTCATTTGTAGCAAACATCACGAATTCAAGGAGCGACCTTAAGTTCCCTACGGACGAGGACCTCAATGGAGCTGCAGTAGCTCTTATGAGATTGCAGGATACCTACAAACTCGAGACTGCTCAAGTAGCCAGAGGTGTTCTCAATGGAGTCCAATACAGCACCGGTTTAAGTGGTAAGTTATATTGCATAATTCGATCTTTTCACTTCTCGTATAATCCATTCGTTTTCTTTATTTTCTTCTATATTTCTTCCCTTTCATTCTTTTTTTTTTTTAACAAATTTAATATATTTTTTTGGTCTATTATCCTCTTTCCACTATGTTATAATAATAATTTTCTATCATATTCAATATCATTTAAATTATTCAATCATTGTTGATAACGAAATATATTTTATCGTTAAATATATTTAATTAATGATGATGATTCTGTCGAGAATCATTATCATTAAAATCAGTTTATTTATAACTTCAATGATTATTTTTAAATGATTGTTTAAATAAAAAATTTGACTAGTTTGAGATTTATTTTCGAAAGTTTCAACATATTTATTAGTAATATTATCCCAGAGGAACTTTGATGAAATTTTTTACGAGGACATACGCCTTCTTGATACGTTAAAGGCAAAGCCTTGTACACTGACTTTCGAGTACACAGTACTTAGTGAACCCTACCATGAATAATTTACGTGGTTTCCTTCATCGGCATTGTACTCCTTTCCAGTCAACTTGCCTTCTGATTTAGCCCTATAACGATGACTACCTTTTGCAAAGAGTTTAAAGGGTTTTCAATTGCCATAGATTTCAAAGCTTGACTGATCCTTTATAATACTTAAAAATAGTAACAAATTTTTTTAAATTTAAAATAATATTCATAAGTCGAATTCAGAACAAAAATTCGTTTTATAAAATATTTGTTTTAATGTTAAATCCGTGTAATTATCAGTTTTAATACTAGTATTTGCAATAAATTTACTGAAATTGTTTTAACAAATATTAAAATCAGAGTATTTAAATTCGCATTGAGAAAAGAGTACATTTATTTTCGGTATAAAATAATGAGATAGATCATTATACCTTATTGGCTATTTAACAAAAAATGAATTTCTAAGAATGTTTAATTATTACAATTTTTTTGTTTTGTTTTGTATTATATACGAGTCAGTCAAAAATAACTTTATAAATCTAGACAATTTTGAAACGTTAAACATCAAAGACAAGAAAGTGTCAATCGTAGAAGACAAAGGTAAAAGTTAATTAACGAACATAGTTTCGTAGACAAGGTAACTGCCTCGTCATGCTCGAGACGTGGGTCGAACATTGTAAAAAAGAAATTCGAGGAACTCTGATCAGAATGCGTAGTATTCGTAATATCAAATTTTTCTCTTCAAAAAAAATCCAAGCCTTTTCCGGATTATTAATAACGTGGAATTTATCTGTTTTAAAACTCGTTTAATATGTTGTTATGTTGAAAAGTTAACTGATCAAATTTTGAACTATTTATAAGTATTCATTTAATATATCCTTGATAATAGAAAACAGAACAAAGAAAAAAAAAAGACCCTAAAAAAGCTTCGACAAAATTAATGATAAATTCATAATATTGTGTAAATCTTAATTATACGATATATTTATATTTTTTCTTGAAAAAAAATGATAAAATAAAATAGTATTTCCTATTTTCCTCTTTTTTAAAGTTCATTTATTTCTCTTTTTTTTTTCTATTTTACAAAAATAAAACGTTACTTTTAAACTGTAGATTACAAAAATTTCGAATTTAAATGAATATCCTTCGGAAGTTAGTAACATACTCATTAAACTTTGAGGAATGAATTATTTTGCAACGTTATTTGTTTTTAGCCAGTGATTGTTTCGAGCTGGGACGGCAATCTTACCATAATAAAGATTACTATCACACCGTGCTATGGATGCAAGAAGCTATGGACCATCTGCAAGAAGAACAGAATGCAACTTCTACGTCGAAACCCGACATTCTCGAATATTTGGCTTTTTCGACATACATGCAAGGTACTTCAACGTTCTAATTAATCAATTGTCTATTGTGGAAATTATCTTTAACAAAAAAAAAAAAAAAGAAACAAACAAATCTTATCGCATTGTTACAATCGTTAATAACAATTTGTAATTACTATAAAAAAAGAAAATACTGAAATAAGTACGTATATACAATAATAATAATAATAATAATAATAATAAAAAAATTAAGTAGAAAAAATTGAAATAGCAATTACTCGGACGTTTCTTTTTTTTTTTATCATTTGCTATTCACGCATGAGAGAAAGAAAAATTACCGTGCTGGTGAACCGCAAAAACGACGCAACCCTCATACAAACTATTCACTGGAATAAATAAAATATAAGCGTAACAAAAATATTCTCTTCGTTCTAACGAAGTATGATTTCAAAGTTGAACAGTCTTTTAGATATTCAAAATTGATCACTGTTCATATTGCAAAACTTTAGATTTGATTTTAGTCATTTTCCATACAATTTAAATCAAACATTAATGGAATGAAAATGGTAAATTCCTGTTCGTATGAATTTTCTATTCAAAATTCTACTTAATCCGATTATATAATACATAACTGTTCAAGAGTATAAAACTAATACCATATTTGATAATAAATTTTCCATTAGTATCTATTATTTAACAATAAGTGAATACTTTAAAACTAATTACAAAGTTATTTTGCATAGAATTGCAATGAAGTGTAACAATCTTAATAGATGAGTTTGTTTTAAAATAAATTTTAAAGATAATAGTTGAAGATTTCAAGAAATATCTTTATTTTTTTTTTTTTAATACGATTAACAAATTACTCAAATACTTTAATATGAAAAGCATAATTAAATCATTTATAAGTATATCAGCAAAAATTTTTATCATTATAAATAACTTATATAAAAAAATAGAAAATAAAAATTGATTATATCAAAGTTAAAATTTGAAATATCTTTACTATAAATTAACACAATATGTGGTTCAATCGTAATTTTTTATATCTAGTATACTAAATAAAATCAACGCTCGTGAAAATATATTTTTGTTTTTTTTTTCACTGTGATGGTGGTGTATATTAAAAAAATAATTGTTATTTACAGGTAATGTTGCACGTGCTCTCAGCATGACAAATGAACTTTTAGAATTAGTACCAACTCACGAAAGAGCGCTTGGTAATCGAGCTTATTATCAAAAAGAAATTCAAAGTAAAGCCAATCTTATGAAAAAGAAACGTGGAGAGGATGGACGAGACGATACAGCAATACCGGAACAGGTACGATTTATACAAACAGATTTTATTTCCTTCGAATAAACAAATTAATTCGAATTTTGTAAATTTAACTGATTTTGAATAAGAAAAAAAAAGTAATAGGATAGTATACACGATTTTCTAGAATAATTGTAAAATGTTTTAATTGGTCAATTCAATGACCTATTTAACATATGACCTATTTAATTTTTTGTTTTTTTTTTTTTTCATATCGAATTTTGCATAGCAAATAATTCTTGAAATAGACGACGAACCGTCAGCGTGTATTTTAGCTGAATTTCTAGACAACTTCGGAACAATCGATTTTCGAATAAATGGACAGGTCATGGAAGTCCTATTGCTGCGCCTGTCGGTCTTAACTTCTCACCGAATTTAAATCCGATGGATTTTTACTTGTGGGGTTATTTAAAATCCACTGTATACGGAACGTCCATTTTGAATGGTAAAACTATTCGTGAAAGAATTGAGCTAAGTTTTTCCGAAAAAATCCGCGAACAACACATCTGGATATATGAAATGAATAAAAATATTAATTAAATTATTCTATTCCGATGCTATGCTAGATCATTTAAAAAATTTCTTATGAAAATAAATATACAAAGTTGAATAAAATATTTTGTTCATATAATAATACAATTGTTTAATAATTTTTTAATCGTATTCGACTTATTTTATTATCATAATTAGGTGTCAAAAAAAAATAATAATATTGTTGTCATTGGTGATTTGATCTTATGATAAAAAAGGTTAAATAAGATTAGAATATTATTTGAAATGAATGCTGATATTTTCTTCCTTCGTCTATTTTTTGAAATGGATATACATTTTGTTAAATCGTTGCAATTTAATCAACACAGCATGAACGAATAATAGAATTCTTTCGTAGATATAAAAGAAAAAAAAAAGAAAGTACACTGACCTATATCTTATCGTAAGAAATTACTTTTGGCCGAAATTTACTTTTTTTTTCTTCTCAACATTTCAATCTCAAACGTGCTGCAATGCAAAACTGAAGTATTATCGCTAATACGATTTTAACATCCAACATCGTTAAAACACTTTTCCACAAATTTATATGGGTCGACAGCTTGTTTACTCGATTTTCGTGTTCCCTCTTTTCATGAATGAGTTTGAAAGCTTTCGAAGGTAAATTAATACTAGTAATCCTTGAATTAGCAACAAGGTTTTTTTTTCTCTTAGGTTTACAAACGTTAAAGTGTACCAATCAAAAATATATTATTTTCACACTATATCCTAATAATTATTTATTTGATTAGGAAAAAAGAGTTTATTATATATTTATTAATTAAAATTATTACGAGTAATGAATTCAAACACACGCGAATAAATTAGATCATATTTGCTTTTACTGATCTAATAATTTGACCATTTAAAAATTATCAATAATTATAATTTATTAATAAAAATATATATAAATATTAATAATATGTTCGATATATTTTTCTTCTTTTTTTTTCAGAACTTCACTGTTACAGAGGAAAAGGTTAAAACTTGGGAAGAGATGACAGAGAGGGAAAGATACGAGATGCTATGCCGTGGTGAAGTTTCCATTCCACCGGAAATACAGAAGGATCTAAAGTGTCGTTACGTCGATCGAGGAATTCCTTTCCTTAAAATAGCCCCGTTCAAGGAAGAGGAAGCTTATCTTGATCCTAGGATCGTCGTTTATCATAATGTCATTTATGACGAGGAAATTGAAACGATCAAGAGAATGGCTCAACCCAGGGTAAATAAAAATCAAGATAAATAATATATGTATTTGTATTTATACTAATATATTCATATAATTGTAAATTTTTACGATTTCATCGTTGTTATAGACGAAAAATATTTTGAATAAAAAAATCAGTAGAAATTTTCTAAGGTATTTTCAAATTTGTATCTTTAAATTTCAGTTTAAACGTGCCACCGTCCAAAATTACAAAACTGGTGCACTTGAAATCGCCAATTACAGAATAAGCAAAAGTGCGTGGCTTCAGGAACACGAGCACAAGCACGTAGCAGCTGTGAGCAAACGTGTCGAGCATATGACCAGTTTAACCGTTGATACTGCAGAAGAGTTACAAGTTGTAAACTATGGTATCGGTGGTCATTACGAGCCTCATTTCGATTTTGCTAGGGTACGTTAGCACTTGAAATTATTCAAAATTCAAATTATATTATATATATATAATAAATCAAATAATTATCTTTTTTTATATCTAGAAAGAAGAAACTAATGCTTTCAAGAGCTTAGGAACTGGAAATCGTATTGCCACGGTTTTATATTACGTAAGTAATGAATAAAATAATGTAACAAATAATACATTCCGTTTTATTACGCCGTATATATAACGTTAATTTATTTACAGATGAGCGATGTAGAGCAAGGAGGTGGTACCGTGTTTACAGCTATCAATATATCCCTTTGGCCCAGGAAGGGTAGTGCTGCCTTTTGGTACAATTTGAAACCAAACGGGGAGGGTGATTTCAAAACAAGACACGCAGCTTGTCCAGTACTTACAGGATCGAAATGGGGTATAATTATATTCTATTTATTATCCTTTTATATATATATGAAACTAATCAATATCCGAATTGTTCTACTATTTTTTATATTTTAATAAATAATTTATTTGTGTCTGTATTTCAGTTGCTAACAAGTGGCTTCACGAAAGAGGGCAGGAACTTCTTAGGCCTTGCACCTTAGAAAATCAATCAACAGATGAAACTGACGTTAGGCATTGAACAAAATTCCATGGAGCTTGCGATTAAATTGATTCGTTAATGTTATTCAAACGATCGAATGAAATATTTTCAAATTATCCGCAAAATAACAATGATTAGAAACGAACAATTTCGTCGCAGTTTAACTACTTTGCTCGATCTTATGCTAAAGTTACGAAAGGACGACACGTGGCTATTATTAAAAAGCGAGGATCCATCTCGCAAGAATTCATCGTCTAGAAAAGAGAAAAAGACATTGAACAAAATCTTAATATTACTCGACGATTTTATGATAAACGAGAAATTCATTAGGTGTCTCATTTTCGATCATTTTATTCTTACGATTGTAAAGAATATATAATTTCATTAATCCTTATTGATATAAGTATTTATGAAATGAAATTTAAACCAAATAATGCTAATATACTTCGTCTGCCTATCGTTTTATTTATTTCACAAATTAATAGTAATATCTTTAACTGGATTTATTATTTTATTCTCAACATTCCCATCATGTAATAAACATTTTTGTAGAGAAGGATGCATTGGATTATTATTGGTTTTTTTTTTATACATATCAACAGTTTCTGTATACTTATTAAGACTCGTATAGGGATACCACTATTTGTAAAGGAATAAATATCTAGGATTACATTATTTTTCATTATGTTAAAAAGATCTATGAACAAAGTATAATAATTATTAACTAATGAATTTTTACACGACAGAGAATATTTAATTTTATTAAAAAAGGATTATCTTCGTCACATAGTTCGAAATATTTTCGTGCTCTAGTAGAGACACTTGTGTGTTTCCTTTAGTGTTTGCTCAATTTCTGTAAATATTATACGATTAGGATATATTTCATAGTTTAATACATTTGGTTGTTCTTCGCATTTAACCCTTTGCGAACAAATCAATTTGTAATTGAGCGATATAGTGATACTTTCCAAAAACTTATATATATATATATATACATACATATATGTATAATAAAATATGTCGTAAAAATTTGTAATATTTGCTTACATGAAAAGTATCGATTAAAAATTCATCATGTCAATTGTTTTAGCCGCACTTATATCTGCGTTTATCATGCTTATTGTTTAAACTAAAGATATATATATATATATGTGTACGGTAATTATGAAAATGAAGTAAGGCAAACAATTGTAATATATAAACTTTATGATTTATTTAAAATAAAAATTATTTATTTTATAAAATAAATAAAAAAAATATATTTTTTTCAATTATTTGATTTAATCTACCTTCAAAATTACTTACACATATATAAAATTATCGTTCGCGAAGGATTAAACGAGTTGTATAAGAATTACTTTGTAAATGAACTAAACGAAGATGGCAAGAATATTATTATGACAGAACATGATAGTTTTTTTTTCCACGGTGATATCGAACTTTAGGAAATAAGACGAATGTCGTTCATAGAGTCTATCAATCGAATAGAGATATACTCTGCTCAATTATAAAATATTTACCTAATTCGAACTTACCCTTAGCTACAGTCACTTATTTCTATACTCCACTCTTAAACTCTTTGATTTCTTAATTAAGTAAACAAATTATTTCCATAAATCATACGTATATGAATGTAAGCAAACATGATTTGTGGAAACGTTATGATGCAGTAACAGATACGAGATAAAAGAGTAATTAAGAGAGAATGTATCACGGTTTTGAGAATGCGATTGTTGTATTGTAATCGTGATTTTCTTTTTTTTTTTTATTTAATGATCATTAAACGGAATCATTGAATTTTTAAAAACAAAAAAAAATAGGATTAATTGAAATATTATACAATTTTATATTACATTTTAAACGTAATTTTGTATTGTATGATCATTAAAGAAAATCGTTGAACATATTAGACAAGAAATAAATAAAAGTAATTAACATATTTTAATATTTAATATTACAAGATATCAACGTAACAAGTAATACAATTTATTTACGCGTTTATGCACATAAAAATAGGATATACATTTTTCATATAAATGTATAAATATGACGTTCCTAACGTTTATATTGAAAAATAATTACATCAGATCGCAACGAGTCAAAGGTTACAAAGGCCAGACGTATTCAGTTTCAAATTTTAAACGAATTTACATTTTTCATTATTATGTAATATGTTACAATTGTAAAAAAAAGCATAGATACAACTTACATAAAGCACTCGTATTCTCGTTCGACCGAAGGCGCATTCGCGTGTTGTTAAAATGCGTTGTTATCGCACACGATTATTGTTAGCCTGACAAAAGGCCAAAGTAGCTTATCTTGTAAGCGAGTTTTCTCGTACGCGTTACGAAATAAAGAGAAATTGCGTGTAACTTGGACAAAAAAAAATATACAATCGATTGAACGATCCTACTATCGTTTCATTTTATCAAATCATCGGATAAACAATAAACGAAAGAAATATAAAAATGAAGTACATCATTAATTACCGCAGATTTTTCTAACGTTAAACGCTTAGCTCTTAAGTTCGTTTGCAACGATCGAAATAATGCGTTCCACTGAGAAAGCAACGACGATCAATAAACTTTTACAAATCTCGAATTGATTTTCTTATTTTATATATATACAAACTTACGAATAATCCTCTTTACTTCGTTTAAAATCCAATTGAATTATTTATAAAGCATTTAGTATTATTTTATAATTAATTTGTATGTTACGTTAAAGTTAAAAAAAAAAAAAAGCTTTGAACTTTGTTAATTCTCTCCTTTTTTTAAATAGATATTTAGTTGGATATTTGCTTTAAAAAAGCTTTGTTAAATATTTCTTTTATCAAACATAATTTTCTTATTAACAATTGATGTTTTATATAATTTTTTTTAAATTACTTATAAAATATTTAAACAATTATTTTGCGATTAATTTGATAATATGAATAATTTTAATATGAAATAAATCATAAAATTTATTTTTTCCAATTTTTCCATATAATCCACACTCACTGTAGAAACGCTGGCAAGGAACCTTAACAGCAGAAAAAAATGAACAAGGGTTCTTATTTGCACACTATTTGCTCTACTTTATTATATCAAATATTTTTTATTTATCGTTAATTAGTTGAAAATAATTATTACACTTTAAATAATTATGAAATGGCGACGTCATGAGTGGGAGATATGTTATACACATGCGCAATCACAAATTCAAGGCGCAAGCACACTTGGAAAAAAACGAAAGTAAAGTAGGTATATATATATATATATATATATATACTTGCAGGGGATATATTTAAAGTTGATTTCCAAAATAACAACCTATAAGGTAGTGAAAAGAAATAAGTTAATCGTTCATAATGTATAAACAATAGGTAAATATTTTCATTTTTTCTGCTGTTGCGGTTCTATGTCAACTTTATTATGGTAAAGCATATAGAAACTCACAAGTCCCCATTTTTACCTACCCAGCATCATTTTTGTTACCACTGGGACCATCATTGGACGATAGTATGTACTTAATGCAATGACGGTACAATACTATTAAAGAATATTGTATTCTTTGATAGTATGTATAGTATAGTTATGCTGTAAGAAAATTTAAAATAATTATATTTAATTTTTAGCGTCTAAATACGTGTGTGTGCCTTCAGAAATGCGTTTTTTATACATATATATTTTAAAAAGTAGAAGAAAATCAAAACGAGTAGATGATAAATCCAACGATGATCACCTAAAACAAAAAGAAAACTATATTAATCATACAATCAAGTGATACAATAGCCTGACATATAAATCGTCCCATTTGCAGATGCACTTTTCAATTGAATTCTCTATTTATTTTTATCAAATCTCTATTTACCGTAGTAATGAAATTAAATTTAAACGCGTGATTTTACATTTACATAAAATATATAAAAATAAAGAAATAGGAAAAATACAAATATTAAGTTACTACAAAAAATAATATCTATTAATTATTATGAAATCCTTTTAAGCTGCATTATATAGAAAAGAAAAATTGCAAATTTAATAAAATACGATCAAAATGACAAATTTTAAAGACGAAACAAGAAAAAAGAAATTACTGTAATATTTAATAACTAAACGTAATTTAAGCTTCAAAATTGAATATTACGAAAATTTTAATATTTTTGACTCTAACTAACACATATGCATCTTTTGGACGATATAGACACGAATTTGGTGTCCCAAGGAAATGGAATGGTCCATCATCTCCAATTACAACTACAAATTAATGACGAGCAAGGAAATAATATAATAAAATATAATATGACTAGAGAACTATTTTCGATAGGTTCGAACTTGCTGTTGAACCTTTGAAAATAACTCACTAGTCTATGTAGTTGCCCACTTGATACCACAAATTTGTGGGGGCCTCTTCGGCATTAGC